AGATCTCCAGCTGCTTAATTACAGTTATCAATGAATGCGATTCGCCGAATCTCAACCATTGGGACCGCAATGCAATGTGTATTGATAGAGAAGGAGGGTACGATTGCAAGTGCAAACCACCGTATCGAGATGAAAGTCCTGCCGGTTAGTTGAAGCTCCGCAGATTTCAAAGTTTCTCAAAATGCATTTTCCTTTGCAGGACATCCTGGCCGCGTCTGTCGTCTGAACGAATGTCTCGACAGTAATCTGAACAACTGCGATCGTAACGCTGAATGCCAGGACATGGATGATGGCTACATTTGTAGCTGCCGTGAAGGATACTACGATCAATCACCGAATCCTCAAGAACCCGGTCGTGTCTGTCTCGAATTCCAGGTTCGTACCGCACTTATTCACCTAGGATGGCTAGTTGCCGTACTGCTGTCATTGCTTCGCTTCAGGTCGACCAGAAAATCGAGCAGGCTACGCACACACCCGTGCAGACCCATCCACTCAACGATGGTCTGCCTTGTGGTCGCGAGTTCTGCAAAATTGCCATGGGTGAAGTTTGCATCAGCGGATCGTACTGCGGTTGTCGTCCTGGCGAGAGCAGATCGGTAGCGACTGGACGGTGAGTAGAACAAGAAACAAGAAAAAGGCACAGACCATTCCAAACAGGAGTTACACCACCGAATGCGCTTCCAAAAGTTGGTCACTAATCTTGCTCCCAAAAGATTCTCTGAACGAACCATCCGCATACTGTCTCGAGAATTGGAAGACTGATGTGTTTCCAAGAGAGACCAAGTTGTGGTGTGAACTCACAGACAAGAGGTCGGGAGTCTAAAGAGTTACGAGGGTCGGTCCTAGTTGGAGGCAAAGTGAATTAGCTTTTTCTTTGAACATCGAATTAGCCTACTCTTTGAACATATCTTTCATATCCCTTTCTAGATGATTCACTAGATTTTTACTTCCCCCCTATCTGAGACCTTTTTAAAGAAACTTATACAGTCATTGTTTCGTAATTTTTGGTTCTCAGATCGATGATGCACAAGGGTTTCGACACAATTTTTTCGGAACTTGTGATTGTCTCATCCCAATTTGTAATCCTTCATTTCTCTGAAACTGCTCGGTCATCAGGAACTGGTCTTGTAGTGGTGTTCATTTCTAATTATCATAAAAAACCACCACTGTAACAGAGCAGAAGTTAAACGATCAGAAATGACAGGACGAAGTTTTTGAAGGAAGAATTTAGTTGTCATCCAGCGTAGTCGAGTTCTAACGCCAAATTGAAGATGTAAATTTGGAAGCCACCTCAGTGGACAAATATCTATCCAGCTACCACTGACACTCCAGTAAGGTCACGCGTGAAGCCTCACGTCAGGGATTCCGACGCGCCTAGGAGAAAGTCGCCTAGGAGCATGCGGTACAGAAGGAAGGGTGAGCGGATGAGATGGTCATTCGGCCTCGTGAACCTATTTTATTGTTGGTTCCTGTTCTTAGATATTGCCCACACCCTTCCACTTCCCGGGCGATGTCCCCGTTATATTATCATTTATGGTTATTGACTGTTAATCTCCTGTTCTCCCCAAAGCTCACTGGCTATCAGGAACATGGGGATGTATCCGGAAAAGTACCCTGCTATTGTGTGCGCTGTTTGGAAGACTCATTATGAGGTTCACATGGGGTCCACGTAATACTGGTTTCTATAGCCACTTTATTTTT